ACGTCCACTCTCGCGAGGTCCCACATGATTCCGCGAGATCCCACGAGATCCCACCGGATATGCCGCCATCTTGAATGTAGCGTCCATCTTGACCCGAATGTGACGTCATCTTGGCCCGGATGTGACGTCAGTGCTGTACACAGCGTTCAGGTAATCGCCGTTGGTCAGATGAGTCTGACTTCATCCAGCACAGCCAGACTTCAGAACAGATTTGATAGGGATCCAGTGTGGTGTTGCGTGGCATCTCTATGTGACTGAGCTAGACTCTAATCCCGGACTGAGCTACTCTACTCTGTGCAAGGAAGAGTCTCTGAAAAGTGCTATGGGAACGAAATACTGACACCCTTGTCGCGTTTGCGAGGCGTTTCTGTCATGTTTTATCTTTCAGGACGACAAAGCTCATGATCACCGTGCAAGCGCTCCAGCACAACAACCACATCTGTACCTCCATTGAAGACGTGTTGGACGCGGCACGGGGACGTCTGCGCTGATGACGTTAGCTGAAACTGACCAATAATGGCACACACACACACCCAAAGCACATCTGAAAGATTAATACGCAGCATGCCTCTCCAATTTGCTGTAACTTGGACAAATGGTGCTGGTATAACGCACGACCGATCGCAATACGACAAATGTAAAAGTTGACACTATTGCACAACATACACGTTGGTTTCATAATAACTATTGCAATACTTCACGACCGGTTGGAGGTGTTCCCAATTCATTCATCATTGTCCTACATGCATAAGTCCCTTGTGTACCTGTACCTAAATGTGAAATCCAAACTATTAAGAGAAAAATATTGTGCACTAAAGAATGATTAGAGAACAATATGGTGAGGGAGTGAGTTCAGTTTTACGCCGCATTCAGCAATGTTTCAGCAATATTGCGGCGGTCTGTAAAAATAGAGTCTGGACCAGACAATCCAGTGATCAACAGCATGTGCATCGATCTGCACAAATGGGAACCGATTACATGTGTCAACTAAGTCTGCGATCCTGACCATCCGATCACGTCAGTTGCCTCTTATTTGTGCATGGTAGTGTATATTTAACATATACCATTATACACATTTATCAGCCACCTCTTGTCTATTTAATGTGCAACTCTTCTTAATAAGTGTTCTGAACATGTAAATGAACAATTCATGTTTATTTTAATACACAGTGATAAATCTGACGTTAATGTCAATGATTCGAACAAGACTGTGCGATTATAGTGTAAATAGGAAAAAACAGGACACGGTCACAAATGCCACGCGTAATGAGTCAGTGTCTGGCTGTAACGTGTGTAAATTCAGAGCTGTCAAATGAACATGTGCATAATGGTCGTTATCGTAAATTATAGTCTTCTACTTTAAAATCACTTTTGTTTGTTTGTTTGCTGTTTAACTCCGCACTCGAAAATATTCCAGTTATATGGCGGCGGTCTGTAACTAATCAAATCTGGAACAGACAATCCTGTGCTCAAGAACATGAGCTTTGATCTACACAACTTGGATACAATGACATGTATCATCCTAGTGACCACCCGATCCCGTTAGTCGCCATCTTCATGGATGTCTAATACAGAGGATGCATAAAGCTGGCATACTTTATGCCACCATTAACGACATTAGCCGAATGCACTGGATTTTCTTAAGTTAATTCCAAGCCCACATCTTCAATCACAAGGGATAAATATACTGAGTCAAAAAAGAAGCTTCACATTCTTTCTCCAGGGCACTATAAAAGAACAAGGGGTGGTAAGATGGTTAAATTGTTATATTTATCATTGCTGAGATCTGTGTGATGTACTCGATACACTTAAAGTGCCATAATCAGTTCCATTAGTTCCACCGCCGTCCCAAAACATGGGTATACAGAATGTCAAGTCACAAGAATAAAAATGCGAAATTTCTCAGTTCAATATCATGTATGGCCGGCCCGCGCATTCACCACTGCCAAACACCGTCTCCTCATCGACTGCCTGATGCTTGTGAACACGTGGTTGGAGATGCTGCGCCATTGCTCTTGCAAGGCAGCGCCAAGTTCCTGCAAATTCTGAGGTTAGTTCCTAAGACCACGAAGCCTTCTCCCAAGTGCATTCCAAACGTGCTCTATTGGATTAAGGTCGATGGCCAGTCCATGACGTTGATTCCAGCGTTTTGAAGGAAATTTCGTGTCAACATCGCGGTATGCGGCCGAGCATTATCATGCTGGAACTGTAGACCTGGGCCATGAGCCGCCATGAAAGGAACGAGTTCCGGGGTGAGCACCTGGTCGCGGTAAGCAGCAGCTGTGAGGTTTCCACGGATGATCAGAAGTCGGGAACGGTTGTTCCCACAGAAAGCACCCCTCACCATGCAACTTCCGCCCCCGAATATGTCGACTTCCTGTACATAACATTGGTCATACCGTTCACAACGTCGTCTCCAGACTCTATGCCTGCCGTCCGCGAAACTGAGGGTAAACCTGGATTCATCGCTAAAGACGACTCGATTCCAGTCTCTCTGGGTCCATCGGAGGTGACGTTGGGCCCACAGCAGACGTTGACGTTGATGAAACGGCGTCAATATTGGCCCACGATGTGGACGTCGAGAATGGAGATTGGCAGCCCACAACCGGTTTTGGATGGTCTGTGAGGACAGTCGACCTCTAAACATCTCAGCCCTGGTTCGTGTAGCCGGTAGAAATCTGTCACGTAGGTGACGTAGGACGATTTGACGGTGTTCTGCTCGTGATGTCACACGTGGACGACCTGACCTTGGGCGATCAGAAGTGGTGCCAGTTTGTTGTAGGCGACCTCGCAAGTCATACACAGTACGACGGCTGCAACCCATTGCTCTGGCGACGTCAATTACTGATCTTCCCGCTTGCAACATGCCAACGGCACGTTCACGTTGCACGTTTGACAATCCTGGCATTTCAAGTACCGTTAGAACTGTGGTTAAAAAGTGTCTTTTTCTTGAGGCCAATGCAAACACGTGCATATGAAGAAAACTTCGATGCGAAGATCACGTGATCGACTGCACGTGCAAAACCTGATTTGGCACTAACGTCATTTGCACGACGAATGGATGGATTTGAGTGGGTTTTGCTAACGCGTTTCTAGAGCCGAAAGATAGGGATCCCATTTCGGATATATAGATGTATCATCAGAGAAAAATTATTCATTATTTTTCAAATTACATTTTGTGAAGTTTCGTTTTGAGTCAGTATATTATAGTGTCAAAACAGTATAGGACTTTTGTAATAACATTAAATCTCATTTTATCTTAGATATTTTAAAAGAAATAGATTTAATTCATAGTGATATTATATAATTTGGTAGGATATAATAATTAACAGAAATTGATTATGGCTGTGTCCTTGACGGGGGTTGAAGAACCGTAAAGTTAATGTCCCCCTGAGAGGATACGTAAGTCCCATTTATTTGTAACACAGATGACAATTAATATATCAACTGAGTGAGGAGAGACGTTGTAAGTGTTTGACTGTCGGAAGTACTATATCATAAAGTCTAAAGAGAATCTAAAGAGCCCCGATTATCGGAAGCGATTCAATAATAAATACCATTAGTACTATTTCAGCCATATCGTGACTATAAAATGTAAACATACATAATAAGTACATTTATTACCTGCGAGGGCGAACATATCGGGGTTAATATTTTTCATACGATGCCCTAGGGCAAAATATCACTTTGTCATGGTGACGCGATGTTATGAACAATGCTATGACGTCACGTTTCTTCTGTGACGTTGCGTTCTACATGCGGCGACGGCGGTAGCCAGCCTATGTTTGAAAGTAGATTTGGGTTTATTTTCATCAATTTGACGACTTCGGTAATAAACTGAATATCATATTCGTGCCCATATCATACTATGTTTACGACACTCGTGCGTAAATATCGGGATATCCCTCGTTCTCGCTCGGGAAATACCAACAGTCAGGCACTCGTGTCGTAAGCATATGACATGGGCCCTCATATAATATCCTCTATATAGATACGTTGTGTGTACTATAGAATCCTGCCATCGAAGGACAGTATAATAACTAGGCTATCATAGATATTTTTACAATCAGTCTACGTCATGAGATACATCGTGTCCTCCCAAACAAAACCTACTTTTCTGAAGCCCGTGCATGTCCACAACATGAAATCAAATGTTAACATTGAAAATATAGGCGTGCACTACATGTTTTTTATCATATTTATGGAGGTAACCGAGAATCGCGATTTCAAAAATCATTTTTGACCCAAGGAAAACGATCCAATGATGGCTAAAACATCTTCAAATGTCTTATGATCGTATATGAGATGAAAGCTGAAGGGGAGATAATGATGTCACTTCCATCTGAATATTGAAACGTTTAGCTGATGTTAATCTACAGTCATTCGAGAAACTCGAGTTATTCCGTGACAAGCCGAATGCTATTCGTCACCCTCTAGAAGGATTACATATCGATGTATAAAAACCAGAACTACTTCTAACAAAACCGACAACTACCAATAGTAATACACGTCCCAGAAACACTCGCACATTGACGTTTATAAATAATTCAACCTATTTGAAAAAGTACTACTGATAAGACAAACATGAATATTTGGTTGAAAACATATTCTATTCAACATTTCTCTGCTGCTTGTTATATTTCCAAAATATTGTTATATTGCCCAATTTTATAAATATGGTTTTAAAGTCTTTAAAGAAGAAATTATGTCAAATTAACCTCTTCAAATTTAACAGACCTTCACGAATCTCAAATGTTTCCTGAATAGTCAGACTGAGTTATATTAATAGTCCACATACAGGTTCACATTTGTCACAGCAAGATAAATTATAAGTATCCAGTTTGGCTGGCTAAAGCGTTTAGCTTTGAATCCCTGGAATTTCCGTTCAGACTCGATTAATGACAGATCGCCGTTATTTTGAGCAGTATACCTGAGAGCAGCGTTTAACAACAAACCAGAAAAGTACGAAAAACATATCTTTACCCGCTTGTATGTTTCAGTTATATCAGTGGCCCAATTGAGTGCTGCTCCTGGTGGGATTGTGGGTGGTGAGTAGAACATTATTGGGGACACCCATCTGCCCCTTTAATCCCCAGAGACACTATACAGACGATACTCCACGTGTATCCGTGAACTACACAATACATCGGACAGGTACTGAGTAATGATATTGCCTGGTTCACTAAGCCGCATAACTGTGGATCCCTCCGCATGTGGTTTGAACACCATGGTGGGATACTGTGAGGAAATCCTCTGCATATACATCCTGACTAGATGTTAAGTACGCAGTTTGATGTCGAGGACATGTTATCTAGGGAAGACCCTTTATTTGTATACTGCTACACATATTCATGATCACACTTGGGTATAAGGCATCAGTACGTGTGCTGATGCAGGTTTGTTTGTGTTTCAGGGTCCTACATCAGTCCTGGTGGTGAGTACGACAGTCCAACAACACTGAGTCAAAGTGTGTAAAGAAAAGCGACAAGATATCACTAATATGTCTTTATGAGCATCTACCTACGCAAGGAGGGGGTTATGACATGCATCCATTAAGTCACTGGGCTTGAAAAGCATTTGTTCCTGAGGACAAGGATGGCGCAGGATCGCTTCACGTTACAACATTTAGTTTAAACAAATACATTCATTTATCCAGCTTAGTGAAGCCCCATGCAGGGATGTATTAGAATGTTACACTGGAGTGGAGGAGCGGTATGTCCACTTTGAACCAATGGCAGAAGCACCGATCGTTGGGAGCCAATATTTATTTTAATTTTGTAAAACGGATGGTATGCAGATATTATGCTGGTTGTCTTGAATCATTTAATACTCGACAGTGTTAGGGTTACGTTTCTTTGGCATTTAACTGTGAAACTGCTCTCATCACAATATGGCTGAAATACTTCCGATGCAATAACAAGTTTGACTCACTCACGCATTCACTCTTAGTTAAATCCAAAGGTTTTTCACTTTCTGGGCTCACCAGTGGATATGACTTAACACGTGGAGTTTGGGCATGTCTCCGTTCAAAATAACACAGCTCAAGATGTCTTTTTACATTTTGATAATCCATCATAAATGGATATAATATATCCCCTATGTCGGCTTTACATTGGACGCTGATTCAACAACTATTTGAGAACATGTATGCAGACCATTTCCAATCATCCATTTTACGCGAAATGTGTAATGAGTGAGTATGGTTTTACGCCGCTTTAAGCAATATTCAAGCAATATCAAGACGGGGTACCAATGGGCTTCGCACATTGTACCCAATGGATATCCATGGATACAAGGGATTAAGGCCCGTTACTGGCGTTCCCACCATGATATTGTTTGAATATTGCTAAACACTAAACTCACTCACTGGTATTAACGAATAAGCCGATGTTCCTGACTGCACTGTTGCTTATCATATAGGACTGGACGCACGTAAATTATCCCCCTTACTGTTGAAAGCGGTGTAAAACCAAATTCTCCCTTTACTCTTCACTCACTCACTCTTCACATTCTCTTTATATTCAGGAAGTCCTCTCGTGCAGCAGCCAGGTGGACAAAGTGTGATGTTGACAGGCCCTTCTGGAATAGTTGTCCGTGGTCTGGGGCTACAGAAATGACGCCGAGGAAGAACTCCGGAGATGCTGACATCAAGAGAATGAAATAATAAACACTCTTGTTCCATGAAAACATTTCCTTCTTCTTCTTTTCGCGATACGATGTTTATAGTCCGTTTGGCTCAATAGCGGACCGATGAATTGCAATCTAACTCAAAAACTAATAAACATAAAATACTCAATGAAACGCTGATCATAATTGAAACATCATACCAACTCTATGATTTATTTGCAGAATTTTTGTCCCCTATATAAAAAAGTTGTTAAACAATCTATCACTAAAATATTGACACAGTTCACTGTTTGTTACGAGGGAGGAGTGCAGAGAAAGGGACAGCCAGGTGTTCGAGAAGCACGTTCACAGACAAAGTTATTTATTCATTAACCTGTGCTGTGCCGTCTCCATACGTTCTCGAAAGTGGAAATCGGTAGAGTACTATGTGTGAAACCAGCACACTACAGGGAATGAACTGTAATTAACAATTGTATTCATAGATTAACCAAGCTCACGATTCAACAAAATTTCAGTACAAAGGTACGACAGTACAAAATTGTCTGGCAGTATAAATTCAGAAGCAGTGTAATAGAGAAAGGATTGAGACAAACACGGTTCAATTCGCCTCTCAGCAACAATAAATCCATCTTGGAAGAATGGTGTGGGCAGAGTTTAAAGTGATCACACAAAATGCTGTTTTTTTTTCTGAAACATGAGATGGTATGCGAGATGAGAGGAAGTGCCCAGCTCCCCTGTAATCTGGAGAGAGCCCTAGACAGTTCTAAAATATTCCCAGGGTCACTAGAGATGCCTTACGTTTTGTAGCACAAGTCTAAACATAGCCCACCACTGCCGCTGACTAAATCTACAGGTGCAATGTGCAACAGGTAAAACATTACTGCATAACGTATAACACTGCTTCATTACATAATATAGTATTATCAGATCTGAACTTTTATTGAAATTATAAATTTTGGAAGCCTACCATTCTTGACAATGTGGATATACCATCAGATGGGAACAGAGACTGGGTTGGGGTCATTAGTAGAGTGAATGCCGTAAAAATTAACTTTGAAATCAGCATTTTTCACCCATAGCGTTTTAGAGATAAAAAATAGAACGTAAACATAAGAGAATAACCAGTCTCTAATATCCACCGACACGGACTTCAATGTGCGTGAAAGGCAAATTAGGGGTGAACATAATACTATGAAAATTTCCTTTTAGGAAAATGTTGCAAAATAGCAGCATCTTAGTATCGTCCACTTTCTTACGGAATGGAAATATGGAGTCTCATCGACTGGCAACATATATTCTGCTGACTCAGCTGAACAGGGAAGTTGTGACAAAGCAAAACGATCATTGGCCGAGTGAATACAGGGAGTGGGTATTCCTGCAATATGACGACGGTCTGGCTCAGGCAACCTAGGTACTGGAACTATGGGTTCCAATCGGAGCCCGACAACATTCTTGGTCCGGTGTGATCGTGAGGCGAACTAAGTGATTTGGCGAGTGAGAAATATATAGTCACATCGGTAGTTTTTCAGCTATATCGCTACTCTAATGTTGTTTGTTGTTTAGCGTAGAACGTATCGGTATTAAAACTATAAGACGTATGAAAATAGTCGAATCTGGACCTGACGACTCGGTGATTGACATCATGAGCGGCGATCTATGAGATACGATGACCACCAGGCCCGGTCTTCAGACAAGCATGGGTTGCTGCAGACCTTACCGGTTTCTTTGCTGGTGAAAAAGGTTATGCAAAAGGTCATATATACTATAAAAAAAATGCATAGGCGTTTTGTATTTTAAAAAATCTGTTAATTTCTTATTGTGTTCAAACAATCATACAAATATGTAACACAAGTAGAAAAAACGAATTTACCTGAAAATGTTCATTTTGTTCATTTTGTTCATCGATCCCGTCATTCAGTAACATCAGTCTGCCCGACAGAACGTCTAAATCTGTAAGAGTTGTATCCACAGTTATCAGTAAATAGCGCAAGAAAGCGTAAGAAAGAAAAGTAAGTGAATCTATTTTTAACGTGGTAGAATGGTTTACCCACTACCATGCCTCTCTTGAATGTGAATAGTATGCCTGGGAAATGCTGACATTTGACATACAATGAAAATTCATGCTTCATCTTTAACAATATTCTAAAATATATCACCCGTGAAGATGCCGGGGTAGAATAGATCTTCAGCAACCCATGTGCTTGCTATAAAAGGCGACTATGCTTTTCGTAAGAGGCGACTAACGGGATCGGGTGGTCAGGCTCGCTGACTTGGTTAACACATGTCATCGGTTCCCAATTGCGCAGATCGATGCTCATGCTGTTGATTACTGGATTGTCTGGTCCAGACTCGATTATTTACAGACCGCCGCCATATAGCTGGAATATTGCTGAGTGCGGCGTAAAACTAAACTCACTCTCTCACTCACTAAAATATGTCCCGTTTAGCATCGGTGGGGGGCATCTAAAGGGGTCACGTGGTCATGCTTGCCATCTGGTTGACAAAACATGTCATCGTATCCCAAAACGCATGATAATTTCATGATGTTGATCACTGGATTGACTGCCACCATGTAGCTGGAATAGTGCTGAATACGGTTCAACAACAAACGAACAAAACCATTGAACACGTTTGGACACGACAAGGAGATGTCTGCGCCGGTGACGTTAGCTGAAACTGGCCAGGAATTGGAAGTCTCACATGTACTATCACAGGTAATTAAACGTTGACAAATCGTGGTGGTATTACATTATCGCACATCTGAAACATTGATTTCATAAGACCCTTTGGACCCGTGAAGGTCCGGGTCTATTAGAATAGCCCTTCAGCAACCCATGCTTGCTATAAAAGGCGACTATGCTTGTCGTAAAAGGCGACTAACGGGATCGGGTGGTCAGGCTCGCTGACTTGGTTGACACTTGTCATCGGTTCCCCATTGCGCAGATCGATGCTCATGCTGTTGATCACTGGATTGTCTGGTCCAGACTCGATTATTTACAGACCGCCGCCATATAGCTGGAATATTGCTGAGTGCGGTGTAAAACTAAACTCACTCACTCACTAGAACCAGAATTGATCTTTGTTAAACTCCTAAAAATGTTTTCACCACATTCAGAATAAAGTATTTCCTGACCAAAAATGGCCATCAACATTTTCTTGAATACCCCTTCTTCAGTCAACCAATCAGGCGTCCGATATAGTATAGGTGACGGATGTGTAGGCGTTTGCCGATTATAGCGAGTTATGTCCAACGCAGAAACACAGATACATCACATGAACAAAACCATTTCTGTCAAGGGCACAGGTGTTCAAGTCACAAGGCATCTACTTCAGACACTTATCCTGGCGCAGGCGTCATCTGATACTTACGACCAAATTATTCAACGTACAATTAATACTGACACAGTTCTAATTATACAATATGAGCACTGTTTATTGACTAAATTTGCCATTATCACCAACGTCCTAAGGGGTGATGTAAATCCTATTTGGGTCCATGAAGGTAGTATTTGTATTGTCAAATCCTATGGTTTCGGGATGGTGATCTGCCTTGAGTTGTCGGCTATTTTACCCTGTTGGTAAAGGTGATATATTTCGTACAATTACATAGAGGTTTCTTTTTCCCAACAGAGCTCATTCCAAATAGAGACACAACACATTCAGATGTATGGAACGGCGCTGGGCGACACATGGCAGATTTATTCCGTTTTACAAAATCATCATACAACCACATTTCCAGCAAAACTTAAAGAACCACTAAACTTTGTTTTTTGTTACTCTTTTAACCATTACATATGGAAGATTTGTGGTTAGTCTTATGCGGAACACCAAATTTATTCTTTAAAAACTTGTGGTTAATTAATACCGAGCGATTAAAAGTGGCCAAAAGGTCGCCTGCTTCCCTCTCGCCCGCCAACGAAACCACAGACAGGTTACGTAACTCTGTCGCCAGAGGACTGCAGTGATGTCATATGAGGAACGATTTTCAGTTAGTTGTATAGAAAATGTGTAGCACGCTCATCATTTTGATGATTTCTCGACATCAACGACGACATGCCGAATCGTTGCTTTGTCGTCAATTGCTCCTAGGGGTCGGGCGATGGTGTCCCCATGCACAGATTTCCACAGGACCCCGCAGTTCGTGCTAATTAAATGGGTTATGTTTGTGAGTGCGAAGCGAGCGTTGTGGAAGCCTGAAACCATATCTTACTTGTGTTCAGATCGCTTCACGGAAGTTAAAGAATCAAAACTACTTACTAGTTGTAGTAAAATATGCATATGATTGATGACCATAAAGATTTTCTATGACACAACTTGTAACATAACGATTGCTTCCTCGGAAGTGAGGTTGTGGTCGAAGTAACAATAATATTGTAAGTAGTATTATATTGACACCCACCTCGCTGCCACGAGAGAAATTGTTATGTTATACGCTATGTCATGCAAAATCCTATTGGCAATCAATAAAATACATATTTTACTACCAGTAGAAAGTAGTTTTGATTTTGTAACTCGGTGAAAACAAACCTAAATACCATTTATCCTCAGACTGGCGGATGTTCCCGACAGTGCGCCGCCATTTTTAAAAATATAAATATCTGTTAGAATTAATGAGATTATAGTTTGTTTTCATCAAGTTAAAAAATCAAGACTACTTTCTACTCGTAGTTAAATATGTATTGGAATCATAATCAAACGGATTTCGCATGACACAACTTATAACATAACGATTTCTTCCACGGAAGCGAGGTGGGGGTCGAAGTCACAATACTGCGCGATAAATTTCTTGCTACATTCCCATGGTTAAAGTCCACTCACCAGTATGTAGATACTAGTCAATGCGCGTCTTTATATTTGGTCTTATAATCCTAATTAGTTTATTATCATACTTGTATGCGTTTTGAAACTAAATAAAAAGCAGACGGTCTGCTGATACTTAAAGTGAATTTATAACAGAACTGTAATATCTAGACATTTTATAGTTTGCCAATGTGAATCATAATTCGCACACACACCCTAGTGCATGTTGTCTGTCTC